CCGATACTTACAATCTAAATGACTTTTACGAATGTGAATCACGTCCTGTCCGTGAATTAGTGAATACATGTTACGGCCCGTCAGCTCATCCGATGTGTAGTTCAGCAGATCTGATACACTGTTACAGAAATTAATGACAAAATGTACCTCGTTAATTATATGTTCGGTAATATAGACGGCAATAACATATTCTTAAGTGTAGTGATATAAAATACATGAATAGGTTTTACAACTTTTTGTTTTGCTTTTAATATCAATTGTTATTAGTTTAGAGAGAAATCTTATTATTTTTATGAATATTTCTAAAGAATATTCACTTTAATCACGGAATCAAACAAAAACTTTTTATCTCTAATTATAAAAACTTATTATAAAATTTCTCTCGAAAAACAATTATTAACACAACAACTATTTCTAATAATAATTTTTATGATTTTACGGGGAAAACAAGTTTTACATTTTCACATAAATAGCCAGACATACGGGAATGACATCCAATTATCTGACTCTGCAGTCACTCAATCAACAAATTGCTCCCAAAGATTTTGACATTAAAAGCAAACAAAACAAACTAATAATTTCTTTGTCATTCAAACGACTATTTTATGTCACAAAATAAGGTATAAAAGTAAAAAGTCATTAAAACGCAGAAATTTGGAAAAATAAAAATGAAATTTTCCTATTAAACTAATAACAAGCAACAAAAACTTTATAAAAAATATATCTGTTATCTAGACATCAATCAAAATGTCAGACCACATACCGGGGCTCGCAGTGAGCTATTCTAAAGTCGAGGCCAAGTCTCGTGACAAACATATCCGGCTCCAGCCTAAGCTCATTGATAGAGGGAGGGGGCAGTGCGATGGCCACGGCTACCATCCCTATGATCTTTGTGTGTCCATTCGTGTCCCGTCGCTGCTGCTGGTGCTGCGGGCCAGGGATCTCAGGCCTGAGGTGAGCGATGATATGTATGACCCGGTAGCCACTGGACTTGAAGTGCTGACACCCCCTTTTGGTGAGCGTAGACTTCATGCGGATGCAGAACTGCCTTTCCATCGTGTCGTTAGACCCGGTGGTCGTAATATGCGAGTGAGAGTTACTATAGGGTGTTCCGGAATCGGACTCATTGCTCGCACTGGAGCCCACGGATGCCGGTGGCAGTGGTGACGATGATAGCTGATGACCACCGGATGTGCTCACGTTAAGACCTTTTTGTTTGGTGATACAGTGGTTAATATAATTTAATAGGTAGTTAGCGAAATGTTTGATGAATTTTTTTGTGGATACTTTTCAAGGCATTAAGAATTTGTATGTATTTTATGTGATTTGTTATTCAAATGCACGAAACGATAAGATATTTATTTTATGACATTAAATGTCATGAATTTGAAAAACAACACAAAGAATATCAATGTTTTGATTCCGAAATAAACTCTTAATTCCGGTTTAACTTAAAGAAAACATTTATTGTTTTGATTCTGTTATATAAACATTATGTGCGGTGAGTATATGTATGATGTCTAGGAAAACAAAAAACTTTTTAGCTTTTAAAACAGTAAATACCAGTGGGTTGGGTGGGTATGGGATAGGAATTCCTAACTACTTACAAACACAGAGCCAGACATATAATTCTCTGCGGTTTTATAGTACATACGAAAAAAGTAAAACCAAAAATATTCCGTACAATAAATAAATGTTATAAAACTTTTTTTGTTGAGTTTTGGTTTAGTATTTTATATTCCATTCTTATTCTACTTGTTTAGTATTTACACAACTAATTGTGTTTACATTTTTAAAGTCAATGCTTAGGCTGTGAGTAATAGAAAGAGAGAGAAATTTTTGTTAACTTAAAATTCAGTGAATGTAACGCTTTTTTCCCATACAATCTCTATGTGTGCGATGAGTAGTCGGATATGAATACCGAATGAAAATTCTTTGCTCTTATTTTGCTGTTTATTATTATTGTTTAGTATTTATTTTGAGTATAAAATGCATACATTTATATAGAAAACATTTGCGAGAATTGAATATTGAAAGGAGAGAGAGAGAGAGAGCAAAGAGTGAGATGAGAGCCCTTTCCATCACTTCCTTGTCGAGAGGGGGTATCACTTCCTCGATAGGCATACGAAATGACATAAACAAGTGAAACACTTTTGCATTTAATATTCTGTGTGTTGTTTTGCATGCGAAGTACGATTACATGACACCTAACGTTATCCACGTATTAACCAATACACACATATACGAGAGGACATACCTAATTGCTCAGCCAGTTCTGCGTGATCTTGTTGATGGGTATAATCAAAAACACTCGAGCCTGTCATCTCGACCTATTTGTGTGCCGGTGCCCGAGCACAGGGAGAGATAAGGGATCAGATTGAGAGAGAAAATAAAGTTTTTGGTTTTTATTATCAAAAATATATATACAAACACTTAAGACAACAGAGAGTATATAAAGTGATAACAAGTGAATACGAGTGAAGATTTTTGGCGATGATATCACCGCTACTACCGCTCAATGAGAAGCAAATTATAGGTATAATTGGGTTAGAAATCGTTAGCAACAGAAATGCTTTAAAAGTATTTTATTTTTATTTCCAAATCATTTTCCTGTCCGCGAAGTCTTAGCTCATCTGACGGGCAAATAATTTAAACACATTTTTTTCATACGTTATCTTATTTTTCTCGACTTAATTATAGTATAATATATTTTTTGATCGCTTTTTATATTTATTTTCTAATTATTAAAGCGAACGATAAGAAAAAGAGGAAAGAGAGGGACAGACAGCGAAAAAAAAGTCGTTTTAAATACTCGTATTTAACTAATAGAGAGCGGAAATGGCTATAAATTGGCGGAGATTTTAGTTTTTATTATATATTTTTTATTTATTTAATATTTTGCTCCTCTTTTTTACTATAATATAAATTAGTATTAAATTTATTTTAACGAAAATATAATAATTACACGCATTATGTGTAAGAGGATAGTAATGATAGGATAGATAGATAAGGAGGGAGACGATAGGGAAGTGGATGTCATAATTACTTGACTCAGTCCTAAATAGATAGACACCGTCTCCGAGATGTAGAGGAACCGGCCGTCGTGTCCCAATGCAAACGCAAAGCCATCCAGTGATTGTAGAATATGAGTACCCTGGTGCAAATCAAACATGTTGCCTAATAGACAAATATAAGGGGGTTATATTTGTATTGCATTTTATGATTAAATGTTGGAAAGGAGTTTCAATTTTGTTGTAACAAAACACTGTGTATTCTGTGGTCTTATCATTTGGTATAGAAGTCTAGTAAACAATATTCTGTGTGACAATTGGATTCATTATATATTCTTATAATTATTTATTCTATCATTTCTATAGCGAGTAATTTCCTTTAATTTAGTGTATATTTGTTATATTTGTTGAGATGATTGAGAATAGTTTGGAGAGAGAGAGAGACAGAGAGAGAGTTCTGTAGATTGTCTTTAATTTTAACGAATCATTGAATCATTTATTCATTTATTCTGTGTCTCCACTGATTGTTTGGGTCGAGAAAAAGGCTGATAACAAGAGAGAGCGGAGGAAATTATAGCCCAAAAACGAAGTCAGAGTCAACGAAGAGGAAGAGGAGAGCGCCGGTCGTCGACGAGACGCTGACTATTAGGATAGGGATGGAGAGGATGGGAATGGAAAGGAAGCTCTGATTCTCTGACATTAAAGACCTGCTCGCCGTCCAAACCGTTGGGGACACACAATACGGGCGCCTAATTTGATGTCGATGTCAGCGACACACAGACAAATATACAGTAGGCTTTCCACTAGTAATGACTATTTGTGGACCGAATTAACTGCCAATGAATAGCATTTTGTCCACAGATTTGATACATAGGAATAGCGCTGATAGAAAAAAGTAACACTATTTTGTTGTCTGAATTAAATAATTATATCAATTAATGCTAGACTTCACTAATGAAGTGCATTACGACAAACTGAGCCGTGAATTGCAAACTTATTAAAAATTGTTTTTTGCTTTTTTAAAATTAAAATTATATTAACTATGCTTGAGTGAAAATTTATGATAATTTTGCTCATTTAATGGCATTATTATGATTGTTATTATAAACCTATTTATGAGTATAAATCCAATATATGGATGAAGTTATTATTATTTATGGGCTATAATATGGACTAAAAGTTAAATTAAAATAGATTTGCGGATAAATTCATCATAAATTCAATGCCAGCACACAATTCATTGATAGACTCGTAATGTGTCGAAAGGGAACGGGAGAGAGAGAGAGAGAGAGATACACCACACATACAGTATTCCCAAAACTATTAGTTTTAACCCCAAAAATATCCCAACAAAACCTAATCCGAAACCAAAACTTAATGCAAAAGGTTTCGCCTGATTATAGTTATTGTGTTTCTCTATGACTAACAATACATACAACAGAATATCGCTATAATAATAATAAATACAACTATATATCAATTGTGGGCCAATTTTCGGCGTTTCGTTTCACTACTCAGTCTAATATATAAAATATTTTGCTTCTCCAATGCCTGTATCTCCCTCTCCCACACTCTCTCCCCATGCCTATGCCTGTGCCTCCCGGTGCCCTCTCATTCAATATAGTCGGGCGTCAATAGGCGGTGAGGCGTTAATAACTCGATTATTTGTGGAAATGTCAACATCGCTGGTCCCTATCAATCATAATCAAGTTAGTAAATCCTTTTTAGGGCCGCTCTCACTGTCATACAAGCGGTAAACCCTAATACTATGTGCAAAGAGTGCGAGAGAGAGAGAGAGAGAGAGAGAGAGCTATGTATATCATCATCTTATGTGAGCTACCATTCCCCAAATACAATACACTCCATTGACACTATATGTAAGTTATATACGATATAAATTGCATGACATTCTCCGTGTCCCACACCATCACCCTATGGCTCTCACTCCCAGTACTCACACTCGTGTTCTCCCCCACTCTCTCGCAACCTCCCAGTGCTCTCTCACTCACTATCAAACATCCCTTTCCACATATTGTTTCAATAAATAAGTATTCATAGCCTTTAGAATATAGTTATTGTGAGCCGTATATTGACTTAATGTAACCGATATATAGAGTATAGTCGGGAGTCGATCGACTAGTGCCTGGCCTACCAGTGCTGGTGTATGACATCAAAATAAATTGTCGGTCTTATCGATGCCAATGGAGTAGAAATAAATCCAAATGAGTTTTTTGTCTCACACTCCACGACAAAAAAAATAACCGATTTTTTCCATATATTTATATATATTTTTGTGTATTATTACGGTTTTGTGAGCAATAATATTAGTGAACAAAAAACTCATTAGATTTTCGCAGTCGATACCCAATATTATACTCGGTTTAATATAACAAACAAAATGTGTTTTGATTCAGTGTACTTTTTTGTCTCTGAAACAACAGTTAGTATAGCGTAGGGTATAAGCCTTCATCACTTTTATGTGATATGTAATAAGCCTTTATGATATGATATTTCGCCCATAAGTTTGCGCTTAATTATAATATAGTTTATGAAAATATATTCTTAAACCTTCAAAAGTATAGCTTAAATATGTTATAATAAATTTTGCAAGTAGTTTATTAAAATATTCTGTCATACGGTTTCGCAATGAAAATGAAATTTAAACCCAACGAAAAAAAGCAATAAAAATATTATTTGATTAGAAAAATGAAGTAAAACGAGAGAAAAGAAAATTTAAAATTCATGAATTAATTATAAATCCAAAGTTTGGATTCCAAACCCAAAAACTTTTTTCAAACTCTATATACGAGAGAGAAATATAGAGAAAAATACGAGAATTCTTATCGCAAAAAGTGGTAAAACTATTGACAATTCTGGAGTCAAATCGTTTTGCATTTCGTTTTGCATACTATTTGAACGCAAAAACATAATTTTCGTGTTAAGTATTTGTATGAATAGCTAAATAACAACAATAATTACACAGTGTTTTGTGAAACAACAAAATTGAGTAAAGTAAAAAAAGCAACAAAAACGATTATATGATAACTCACATGATTTGCTTATCTTAAGGGTAGAGTTGTTGCTACCGTTCCCCATATTCCATGAGGGCTCACCATTGGACGAGAAGTCACGCAATTTTAAGTAACTTATCGTAAGTCTTATTATCGACGCTTTGTCTGTCAAAATACATGCGACAAGAAAATACACAATCATACTATCAGTTATGGGTACAGATTTTTAAATACTACTTAAATATGTTTAGTTATACATAGATAATGAGAGAGAGAGAGAGAGAGAGAGAGAATGGAAGTGAAAGTTTGAAGTAATAAACCAAAAAACAAACCAAATAACTATTTTAGAGATTATTTATTGCAATTCATGTGTTAGTTTTCAATGAATTTTGCATAAAACCATTGCTTTGAACGTAGAAATAGTAGCCTATCACAGTAATAAATATATTACAATTATTAAATTCTGTGTAAAAATTATCACAAAACTTTCCATAAGCTAAAACTTATGCTAATTATAAAAATTTATACTTTACTACTTACACAAAATGACAATATTTTAATTTTCATTATAAAAATTAGGAAATATGATCACGAATCATATCTAATTCATAAAAAAAACTAAAATTACGGTTACATTAATAACATCCCTAATTATACTAGCGTAAACTAAATCCAAACATGATTTTACACGACAAACCATAACCTCTTACATTGTATTACCAACTAATAGTCAAGCGTTTGCTTTTAATTTATTTCATTCAATTCATTATTCAAATGTTATTATTAATAAACGCGAACAATATATTCAAATATTAGACTAAATATATGATTAGTTTCATGTGATTCTTTGGGTAATAAATGGTAGTCAATATACAAACGCCGACTCATATTTACCTAATAATGCATTACCTAATTGGGAAGTAATGGCTGCTGGTAATGGTAGCATTTTAGCTAGCTCATAAAACTCGTGATTTTCTTTGCCCCGACGGGAACGGGCGGCGTCTCTACTCTTCTCTTTACGCATTTCCAGGATTCTGTCCATACGATTGGATAGGGAGGTAAGGGTTGGCATAGTATTAGACGATTAGTGTTGTTGTATACAAATAGTTATATATTATATATTAAATTATATAACGTTTATAAGTTTATAAATTATATAAATATAAGTTAATAATGTATAAATACTAGTATATAAGCTAAAAAATAAATTTATCATAAAAAGCGATAAATTAAATCTCGATTTCGTGTGTTTAATACGATATTGTCTTAAAAAATTTATGATTTATTTTATTTATTTTTTTGTGATTTGAAAATGAAATATGAAATGAAAGCCAATTTTTCACTTATATTTTGTTCATTGCCAAAGTTTTTACGATTTGATTGAAAAAAATAGTTTTTCGAAAAGATATAAAAAACTCGATAAATAAATAAAAAGTGATAAATAATTTAATGGACTTAAGAGTTAAGACCCGGATGATAAATAAATCATACATAGCTATGTATTTATTGATTGTCAGGGAATTAAACTTTCACAAAACCCAATCACAAACTGGGTGTCCATTAAATAATTAAATCACAAAAATTAACTCAAAAAAGCGCTCACGACTTGCTAACAAAAGCTATTAAATAATATGCGATTAAATAATTAAAATTTCATATCAAGTATCATATTTGAATACCATTTGCAAAGGTCATAGAAAGTAGCGTTATTTTTCAATTTAAACGGTAATTCATTAAACAAATTATATAATTAATGAGCGAAACACACATACAATGTATTCAGTAGTTTGTGAATACATTTGAGAGTCAAACTCATGGCAAATATAGTTACCGTTAATTCATTTGAATGCCAAAAGTAAAACGGCTTATGAATTACTCATTGAAACAAAAAATATTTATATAATTAACTTAAAAAATTGAGTATAGATTGTGAATACATAAACGGTTAGGCAATGAGAGAGGGTAGGTAGAGGTAGGCACAGTAGGAGTACAGTAGTAATGGTGGCACAGAATATTCATGGATGGGAATGGAGTGGCAGACATACTATCCACTGAGCGTATGGTAAATATAATGGTGTAGTGAATGAGTAAAGGGATGTCTAATTAATAATTCGCATCACATTCGCTAAAACGCTGGAAATTGGAAATCTGTTTGTGTTGTGCCGTTGAGCTCCAGAAGCAGTTTTTGTGTGCGAGAGAGAGAGAGAGAGACTCTGACATTGGGCGCAATCATTGCCTCCCTATATATATATATATTGCTCAAATTCTGTTATTATTATTATTATTATTATTATTATTATTAGTATTATTATTATTATATAAACTACGAGTGCTTTTCTGCTGATGATGTGAAGCCGTTATTCTCGCGGAGAAAACCTCCAGAATTTTGGAGAGAGAGGGGGAGAGAGGGAGGAGAGGGATGTGAGAGAGACTACATTTGGCATTCTTGGCATGCGATGGGTCGACCAGCAGATCGAGTAGGCCATCAACATAGAGAGCACAGGCATCCCAGAGCCGTGACTCGCATCCAAGACTAGGCGAACCGATGGCTTCGCTCTCGTGTATGACTACTGAATACACAAACACTTTGGCTGTCGATGGAGATGATGGGCTATAATAAGTGTATGTGCGCTACGCTACTATTGTAGAGCACCGGCATCATCATCATCATGATGATGGTAGCAGCACTGGTATATATGGTTTAGTATGTGCGCGCAAATGGATTCCCGGCGCTGAGACTCAATGGTCTTATTGTGCTAATAAACTGAATGCCAAAACAAGCTGAAAGTCAATTGGCATTTAAATTGTACCCAAAGCTGCTATACTTCAACTGATAGGCAGCGACTGAGAAAGGACTGGCTGTTTATCTCGCTGTAAACGACCGGCCGATGAGATCGACGACTAGAGTTAGAGTGAAAACAATTTATGAGATCCTATTAAACCATTTATTCGGCGCTCAATTAAGCAAAGATATGTTTGAAGAGATTATCTCATAATTCATGGCATAGTATATACTGTATACCACTCTATACTGTCATATCATTTCAATACAATTACTGAATCTCTTAAAGTAATTACTTTTTTCTTACTCTAAAGACTTGCATAACTTTTTTCTGTAGTTTATTGTGTGATTGAAATGTCTGTCTACTAGTCATAAAGTTTGTGAAATTGATTTTAATATTCAATACACAAGTGTTGGAAATTGTTTGTCATTTGAATGATAATTGTACACAAAAAAAATTTCATGTCTTGAGAGTAGAGACACTTTTTTATAGTAATAAATAAATTAATTTTTATGTTTGATTGTGAAACACATATTTCGCTGTAATTATGATTTATTGCGACCGAAAGCCCAGAGAATAAATTAATTGGTGTGTGAGATGTCTGTGCCCACAGCCTAACAGCCCTATAACCACACCATTTTCATACATACATACTGTATATACCAAAACGTCTCAACCAATTGCCATATCAATCAAAATTATAATTTCTAATTAACGATAATGTGATGTGAATTGGCGTTTAAAATCAGCAAATATTAAATGCTACTTTGCAAAACCTCTAAGCATTTTGTATAATACGCTAAATATGTTTTTCAGTTGAAATGTATTTTCCATATAAAAGAGGTATTCAATCAAATGTTTTATTGGCACTCATGTTATGCTATTATTATATCATATTTTTGTTGAGTCGACCTTCTCATGGATGTAGTATTAGTTTTGTATGATATATAAGGCTATCAGTCTCTTAACGTGTCAACCCTTTCCGTGTATTTACTGTAATACAGTAACTACTGAATAATTTGATGTAATTTTAAAGTATTTAAAATGCTTTAAATGTATGAATGCATCAAGAAAAATAATACTATTTAATGATATTTCTTGAAAAACAAATTTACGAATCAAATTATGGCATCAAATCGTAAGCCAATTGAAGCTTAAAAATTGAATTTAAAATACATTTTTAGGCGTTTGAGGTATTTATGAATGAAAATCATATATTTTTTGGTGGCAATCATTAATAAAATTCAGGAATTTTCATAAATCGATACAGAATTTTGTGATTAAAATTTTTGTTGTCTGTGTAAAGACAGTCCATAAAAGGTATCAAATAATTTATTTTTTACTCAATACGCTAATAATTTATGAAAATAATAGGAAATCTATATTAATATTTCAAAAAATTCAATCCCAATAATGAATCGATTAATCACTTGTTTAAAAAAATTATTTAACTTTTCAAAAAGCATGGGAAAAAATATTTCACTAGCGTAGCCACGCACCAAAATGTCAAAAAAGGGGTTTTGATTTATTTAAATACCTAATTACAAATGAGCAAAAAATGCAAAACATATTTTTGAAAAAAGTATATTTTAAAAAATAATAATTACATTACAACACGAAAAAACTGATATTAATTTATCGCACTGAAAAATACACTACAAAATTGAATTCATAATAATAAATGCAACTTTTAGAAAGAGTTATATTTATATCCCATTTTTTTTGTTCAGTAATGATTTTCGCAAATGAATTAATGTTTTTTAAATCGAAAACCAGAAATAAAAATGTAAATCAATATTACGGGGATTGAAAAAAAAGTGTGTTATTATGGAAATTAACTATCAGCGTAATTATGGTTTTAAGGGGGTCACACACAAGGGGTTAAAAATTAATGCAACTTAAATACACTGTATTTTAACAATATTTTTACGCCAATAGTGTATAAATTCGCGATTCTTCGCAGACATAATACTTAAATAAATTGAAAATTTGAATGAACTCTCGATTAAGTTCACTACAAAAATATATATTTACTGTACACTTCTTAGAGCACAGACTACACACAAATTCAAGTGATGAACTGTATATACCGGGGCTGGTATACACTAAGAAAAATACTATTATTGCATTGCAATTAACCCAAACACTGTATGTATTGAATTGTAAATCAGATTTTGATTCTCTCCTATTATTCTGTGTATTGAATTGTGAGATACAAATGCGAGAGAGAGAGAGAGAGAGAGAGAGAGAGAGAGAGAGAGAGAGAAAGCTGTAAGTGTTGTTTAGGGAGTGTTAAGACTGTATCGGCTGAGATAACCGATGCCTTCATGAATGGCAGGCAGGGCTGGGGTGTGAATGAGTGGACTGACCGATGCAAACACTTATGATATTGTATTCAATGGTAGGCTATAATGAGCTAAAGATGCAAAACAACACATAAGACAACAATCAATAGGACGACTGAGAGTGTGAGTGAGTAGTAGTCGTAGAGTGAAAGGGAAGGCCATTATTGGCAATTGTATCCGAATATACAGGGCGTCTGGGGATCTGACAATAGGATCGCCAACACATATCTACAGCACTGGACTAATATCTGGAGTGTTGAGCCACTCATACCACTCGATCCGAAAGGGCAATGAAAATCTTTACGAGGCATTAATGGACTGTATATTTACACTATTAGGTGCGGACATACACACACTGGTAGTGTATTGTATGGCCTATTCGCATAAGCGCCCGGCGCTCTCACTTAAGTTAATCCATTGAATGTAAATAAGGAACGGGAATATTGGACTTAAGTGGGAGGCTGTAATCGCTGGGCACCGGGATCTGATCGGAATTAGATATAAAGTTACTGAGAAATCCATGAATATATACTACAGAATAATATACGGAATAATAGTAATAAAAGGTCACAAAATCCTTTAGCAAAAACAATAACAGAATAATGGCTTACATTGTAATCGCAATGAGCGATAATAATCGTAATAATCATGATATTAATGCAATGATTCACAGAATATTCTGTAGTAGTATTGAGTTCATTAGTATAGACCATAGAGAGAGAAAATCAAATATTTTTGTTCACTGAATAGACACAGAAAATAGTGATTATTTGGTTCATTAACTTCACTCATAGGAGTATATGAATCGTGCGATTTTTAATTTGTTTGAAAACTTTTTTGAATATTGTTTTGCTTTTACGCTACAAATAGTGTGTTTTAAACCTTTTGTCTCTATTTATGGCATTA